GATCGCTGTCCCTTTAAGAGAGAGACGAGAGGGGTGGTGGCGTTGTGCATGTGTGTTTGTGGATGGTAGAGAGACAGTAAGGCATGGGTCAGCAATAGGCGGCCCATTGGTGGCCCGCCAGCAATAATATTTGGCCCGGAAAATTATTTTGAGAATAAAAATTAAAAGAAAATTGAGATTTTTAAAAAACTACTTTTTTACAATATATCGGAGCGACAGTCACAAATATAGGCTATAATGTCCGAATAGAGAATCTACCTACACCTGAAGAATGCTTATTGTACTTTTATCCATGTAGAGAGTGAATGACACACAGCACAGGCACAATCTGGCAGCGGGGTGCACTGACGCTGATAATGGATCAATAAGTAGGTGGACAGCGCGTGGTGCTGAAATAGCCAATATGCGGTTTGTGGTGTGAAAAAAATAACACCAGCTCACTAAATCATTCAAACGTAATGTTTACTTATATGTGAACAGTAACAAAGTTCAGTCAAAACATTGACAACAAAATCGGAGAAAGCCGCTTGATCATGGAGGGCGAGGGGTGGTGGTGCATATGCTGCCACCCCAGTTGGCAGCTTTGTTTGGAAAGAAAAGTTTATTCAAAACGCACGAAAGCTTTGGATCTCGGACTGGCCATCTGTAGAATATGTAGAATCACAGAATGGCTCCGCAACCCCCCCCCCCCCCAAGCATTTGAACGTGTCACATGTTATAACAATCAATTACTTAAATAAGCCTTTGATTATGTTCCGGCCCGCCATCTAGTGGCTCAGAAAAAAAATAATTGCCAACCCCTGTCCTATATGATGTCAAACATGATTGCTGTGACGCTTAACATGTAAGAGTCCGAAGTCATATATAGTCCATGGTGTTTAATAAAGACAACAAACAAACAATATACAACTCCAGACCACGCGGTCAACCGAAAGTATCCGAGCTATTCACCCTCTTCCTACGTCATATCCCCCAAACCGGCATCCAGCAGGTGACCCAAATACCAATAACCCACACCCACGTGACGATTACCAGAAGAGATAACTATAAGAATCAAACAAACAGAAATGAAGATAATAATAGAAATAATAAGCAATGGCAAAACAAGCATTTTGGCTCCAACAATGATGATGATGTTTGTTGTGTTTCCCTCCAGCTGTAAGGAGTATAAAACGGCGCTGGATGATCTGTCCAAAGCTTCCAACACAGGCGGGGACGAGACTCCAGTGGTCACCAGGTACAGAGGATTCATGTTGAAATGTCTCAGGAGCCAGGGGTGGAAAGTCACTAAACATCATTCTAATAAAACATGAATAGGATATGTAATATACACCAGATATATCAAATGTAGCAGATTTCAGAGGTTGTGGCATATCGATGGTTGGTGATTTCTTGTTTGTATTTACCTGCAAAAGCACAATCAACAAAGCAAGAAGGAATTAATGCCAAGGCTCCAGTAGATCCATCAAAAACGTTAAAGTAAAGATGGTTTTGTTTCACATTTCGAATGAACACAAACACTTTAAGTACCTGCACGAGTACGCAATTCATAATAATGTTCCTCTCTGATAACAGACACAATGCTCGCTCTTTGCAAGCATCCACACTTCCAAAAGAGTGCAGCAGTGTGCGTGTGTTTTACAACCCAGACCAAACACTTTTGCAGTGATTTTTGTATGTTTGCCTCCTTTTGTTACCTTTAAACACGTAGAGAGGCGAAGTCCCGCCCATCTACTTCCGACCCATGGGACGTTATTTCCGAAAAATTATGTATTGAACTCAATGGAGAGAGAAATATTATCTTTCGATCCCGTTTGAATTTTGCCACGAATTACACATATGATGTTTGTCAATCTTAAAAAATAATTTCCATGTCAAAAAAGTCAGTTTGTCGTAAAACTGTTGAAATATAAGACTTTGAAAAATACGCAACTAGAAAGACTACAAATCCCAGAATCCCGGTCCCGCATGCTGGCTCTTAGGAACCGACTAACTCCCCTTGTGTGTATGTACAGCTCTCAACATGCCCAGACTTGGAGTGATTTTCACCTCTTTTAATACTTTTCGCCTCGTTCTGAAAGAAAGAAGTGAAATGTTCCAACGTGACGCCGTCTTGGTGTGTGGTGCGAGACGGGAGATGTAGTTCATTGAGCGGTTTCACACAAACAAACTGTTACTTCACAGTTTTACCACACATTTAGATATTTTTCCATCCATCCATCTTCTCCCGCTTATCCGTGGTCGGGTCTCGAGGGTATCAGTTCCAGCAGAGAGCCCCAAACGTTCCTTTCCCCTCATCAACCAGCTCTGACTGGGGGGTCCCAAGGCGCTCCCAGGACAGAGAAGAGATATAATCCCTCCAGCTGGTCCTAGGTCTACCCCTTGGTCTCTTCCCAGCTGGACGTGCCTGGAACACCTCTCTAGGGAGGCGCCCAGGTGGCATCCTAACTAGGTGCCCGAACCACCTCAACTGGCTCCTTCCGACGCGAAGGAGGAGGGGGATAGATATTTTTGACTTGCAAAATGATCTTTTAAATTGACAAACATCATATGTGTAATTCGTGGCACAATTCAAACGGGATCTAAAGATAATCTTTCTCTCTCCATTGACTTCAATACATCATTTTTCCGAAATAAGGTCCCATGGAGCTCCCCGGAAAGGGAGGGACTTCGCCTCTCTATGGTGGTTAAAAAGCAGGAAGAGCTAATCATTTGAGAAA